CGCGAGACACGTGCCCAGCAGTGGGACGAATACACGAGTTAATGATGTTGACGATGACATTAAATTTTAAGAATTTCATATGTAGAGCAACCAAAGGCCCAGCCTTATCTCTGGTTCCTGGTCACTTACTTTTGAAATTTGAATTTATAGCGTTCAGGGATTATCTCTGCAGGGCATTCCACTCTTTATCCGTTATTATAAATGTGGAAGTGAACGCTTCATGCGACTCCTAGGAATATCCACAACGTGGGGGTGGAACTCCAACCTATGTCTAGTTCTCTGATGATGGAAAGGGGATGAAGAGGCGGAATTAAATCACGCAAATCCATTGCACACTCTCGGTGTTTTTTTTTATATGTATATCTCAGATCCAAATAGTTTATATTCAAAACACATGTTAGTACTTAAGTGCTGGGGGCCTACCATAACTTTTCAAAAAATCTTATTTTAATGTAAGCTTATTGTAAGCTTATTATAATATTACTCATATTCTTACCATGCCAAACCTATCAACCTAGTAATATATTATTGCTGAAGTGGGTGAAAGAACGAATGATTTCCCAATAATGTCTATTCCTTACCAAAAATAGGAAAGAAATAACGCTACATGAACTGTATAATGCCATCTCTTTCTTTTTTGATGTTTTGACTCGTCCTATTTTAGTATCATGTTAAAGTACTTAATATTATTTACATCCAGAGAATTATAACTGCCAAAAAAGTACCTAAAGTTTGTAATAATGAAATCTAACAACGTAATTAAAATTACGTTGTTTTCAATTATTTTTCCTAATTTTCACAAAGGAAAATAAATGAAACAAGCTGAATCTTGATTGTCACGTTGCGATTTCGAAATTATAGTCTAGTGTCAACAGTTAGTGTCCCCAAGGAGCATAAAGATCGCTGTCATAATTTAACGTAATAAACGTAGCGTATTTTTATTTAACGACAAATTATTTCCTATGTGCTATTAAATAAAAAAATAAACAAAATATTGTAGAAATATATGTAAATAAATAAGTTCAACATAACTTTTAATCATTACAAATCAATATTTGGACAATAAATTCGAAAATGATATTGTTTCCATTGCATCATTCTAAGTCATAATTTAAGGTGGCTGTGTTCAAACACAGCCACCTTAAATTATGACTTAGAAAGATTCACTAAAAATTATATAAATTGTACATTAATTAATATTAAAGATCAAACGTCCTGAAACTCTATTGTATTCAAACTAAATGTAGAGATCGACTATTTAAATTACAGGAGAGAGTTCATTGAGAGTGGCATTAAATTGCGTAAGTTACACAACTCTAAGCCTTCAGCTAACGTTAGTAATTTTTTTCGCCCGTAACGTAGACATTCAGAAACCGACTTGTTATCATCTTTGTCATAATATTCATGAACATTCGACATCTAAAACTCATATCGACAATTTTATTATTTTTAATCAGAATATACAAGGTCTTTGTAGGAAATTAGATCTTTTAGAGGTCACTTTTAAGGAATTATATGACGACGGTAATGAGGTTGATATAATATGCTTTAGTGAAACATTTGTAAAAAGAGGTTCGGAAACTAACATAAAACTTAGTAATTATAAATTAGCGTCAAGTTATTGTCGCGAAAACAGTAAAGGGGGCACATACGTTTTAATACAAAGTATTTTAGACTTCAAACCCCTACCTATCGTGTCGAAATTGGCATCGAAACTATACTTTGAATGTTGTGGTGTGGAAATTGTAGGTATTGGTCTCATTGTAGTTAATATATATAGAATTCCGGATCATACAAAAACTTTCGTGGGTTTATTCCTACATAAACTAAACACTTTACTCCACCATCTGTCCGTCAAATTCAAATATAAAAAAATCATTATTTGCGGTGATTGGAATATCAACATATTACAGGAAAATACAGCTACCAAAGATCTTCAGAGCATTCTTCAAAACTTTAACTTTAACATTCACATAAAATCACCAACTAGGTTAAACTCGTGTATCGACTTAATCGTCAGTAACATAAAATTAGTAAAAGCAGACGTTCACATTCTGGCTCTTTCTGACCACGAAACTGCACAAACGTTGACTTTGAGCATAGGGAGGCAAAAAGTTATCACCACTTGGTACGAACAGCGGCGAGACTATAGAAATGAAAATATTCAGAAGTTCTGTGAATGCGTTTCAGCTCTTTCCTTTTCCGATATCTTAGGTTTAGACAATGTAATTCAGGCTTTCAACAACTTTCATGATTTAATATGTCTATTTTATGAACTATGTTTTCCAATTATCAGAGTTAAAATTAACAATAGGCCAAAAAAGCTGCTCTGGCTGACAAAAGGACTTAAAAAATGCAGCAAAACAAAACGATTACTATATTTGAAATACAGAACATCAAATATTAATAAACAGTTAAATACAAATAAATTTAAAATGTATAATAGTATCCTAAGAAAATGTATGTTAAAATCTCAGAAAATCAATAATAATCTTTATATCCACAATAATAAAAACAAAATATGTAAAGCGACATGGAATACCATTTCATCTACAATTACTAACAATACCTGTAAAAATGACATAAAACATACACGACATAACAATATGACATACTCAAACCCAGATGACATTTGTAATATTTTTAACAATTATTTTATAGATTTGACAAATAAAAATAACCTAACCCAACTTAACTTGACTAAAAACTACATGACATATCCATCTAATTTATTGAATAAAAATTCCCATACAATAGTTTTGGAACCGATAAATGAGAAGGAAACTTATAACATAATTATGTCTTTAAAAAACACCAAATCCAGTGGCTATGACTGTATAACAACTAAAATACTTAAAATGTGTGCCTCTTATATCTGTCATCCGCTTGCACATATTGTAAATTTATCGTTTAGTGATGGTCTTTTTCCAGAACAGCTAAAAACTTCTGTTGTCAAACCCCTATATAAAAAAGGCGATAAGGAAAGCCCAAGTAACTATAGACCAATTACTTTAATCCCGACTCTATCCAAATTATTTGAAAGGGCTCTGCATTCCAGAATAAATGCATTTTTAGAGAAACATAAAGTAATATATCACTCTCAATTCGGATTTAGAAAAGGTAGTTCTACAACTCTTGCATGTTTTGAGTTTTTGCGCATTGTAACAGAAAGTATAAACGTCTCTACTCCTGTAATGTCAGTCTTTCTAGATATGACTAAAGCCTTCGACTTTGTAAATCACTCAAAACTCCTTTACAAGCTTGAAGCATACGGCATTAGAGGAACAGCCCAAAATTGGATAGCGAGCTACTTAAAAAATCGGACATAGTATACTGAAATAAGTAGATTAACAAAAAACAAACACAATAATAGATTAGAAAAACAATTTTTTAGATCACACCTTAAGACGACTAATGCTGGAATACCGCAAGGTAGCGTCTTGGGTCCGTTACTGTTCCTACTCTACATTAACGATCTCCCACATGCTATTGATCATAATAATTTACAATTTGCTGACGATACAACTCTTATAATAAAATGCCAAAACAAAGCGACTTTTAACACTGACGTAAATAAAGCACTGACAGACGTAATAAGTTGGATGGACATCAATGACTTAAATATTAATATAAGTAAAACCAAAGTTAGGACATATAGATCTTACAACTCAAATCCCATACCGGTTAAAATTAATTACAACTCTGATACTGTAGATGAAGTAGACACATTTAACTTTCTTGGGTTAACAATCGACAAGAACCTTAACTGGAAGGAACACATCGAACAGATGTGCATGAACCTAAACAGATTTGTTTACGCTTTACGAAGACTAAGGCAAACTGTCTCGCGAGAAGCTGCGTTGACGGCCTATCACGGCTACGTTTCGTCCGTGCTCATCTACGGTCTTGTACTATGGGGTAACTCAGTAATCTTAGAAAGAGCGTTTAAAGTCCAGAAGAAGTGTATTCGAGCAATTTGCGGTGCGTGGTTCGATGACAGTTGCAAACCGCTGTTTAAAAGGCTGAACATATTACCTTTGCCATGCATGTACATTAGGGATATCTGCGTGTTTGTCAACTCTCATCCTCAATATTTTAAAACACGCGGTGAAGTCATTCAAAGGCAAACTAGAGCAAAAATTATGAATCTCTTATACCAACCTCGTTGCCATAAAGTAATTTATAAGAATAACTGCTTCAACATGTGTATAATTATTTACAATAAATTACCAAACGAAATTAAATTGATACAAGGACATACTTTTAAATTAAAATTGACAAAATGGCTTTTGACACATTGCTTCTATAGTAATAAAGAATACTTAGAATTTACAAATTCATTACATTAATTAGAAACTATAGAGACTAAAGAAACATTGAATCCCATTAATATTTGCACATCTGCTTGCAGGTTGAATACAATGTAACTAATTTTACTTAAGACCTTTGTAATTACTGTATTCTGGCAAATAAACGTATTTTACAGTACCAATTTCGCTATTGGCACATTATGTATCCCGCTCTGATTAGCTTTCCTCTCAAAAGTTGCCTGGAATAGATCGCTCTTAGCGATAAGACCGTCTTTACCCGCATTAAATTTAAGCTGTTTAGGTAAAGTGTATATCTATCTGCCTAAATTCATTGACTTATAATTATTAATACAAAGATCGAACGCAAAAGTTCATTCGGTCCGTATTTGCTAGAACCACCTACCTCGCCATACCGTGCCCGACGCTTTCCCATTTGAGCCACGAAACGCACCAGCAGACTTCATGAATTTCGCGATATGCTTTTTGCAGATCTTTGTTTTTTGTTTTAACGAAGTCTTTGCTGTAGCGTCATCTATGAAAAATCTATAAAACTTTATCTTCACTCGTATACGTATATCATGGTAGTAAAACACCATTCATTCATTCATTCATATATCATGGTAGTAAAACACCACGATATTCAATAAACTTAACATTACTATAATTGACTTATTTTTGTTACAATTCCAGGATGACGGCAATACGAGAATATCCTTTGGACTTTAGCGATATAAGAAACACAGAGCCATACCAACCACCAGATATCACCATGGTGAAACCCAAGCAATCAGATTCAAACCTGCATTCTATTCTCACCAGCGCTGAAAGAAAAGCCTCTAATTGTAGCAGAAAAACTTCGAGCGAGAGAAAAGTTTCAATTATGGCTGGAGACCCAAATAAGGACAGTAAGGTGCATGAGACTGAAAGGTAAGTTATGTAATAAGTAGTGGTCGGATAATCGTATACTCATTTCCCTACAATTCGATAGTCGCTAATATGGAATGCAGCTTATATCGAAAACAAGAAAAATAAACGTATAAAATATTATGTGTAATTTTATGGAATATAGCTGCTACCCGCGACTTTGTCTGCATTACTTACAGTACTTGTATTTTCTCTGTGTCTCACAGCAATCGTCGGATTTCCGTATGCATACGAATAATAATGCCCATGCCCATTAATTATCAGATTTAAAATCTAAAATAATTTGAATTTTGAACAACATAGGTACTTTATTGTTGTTTTGTATTGATTCCCGCGTGAACTATATAGAGCTGTAAAACTATTTCCCTATTTTTGATAACATTTACTCCATGTCAATAAGCAAGTTAACAAATATATAAAGTAAAAGAAAGGAAAAGGAACTGTTTAACTTTTTTATCATATTCTTTTAAAATATTCTTTACTGTTCCGATTGCAACACCACAACTTACAGAAACACGTTTATGGACTTTATCAAAACAACCATTGTTGTCTTTCTTGAACATATCGTCCTCTTGTAAAAAATACAAGTACACCCATTAATTTTCTGTAGTGCATGTGATTTTAGCGGCTTTCCTCCCATTGGATTACAAATAAAAAATGTAAAAAAAAAATAAGCTCTTTTAATAGCATAAATGAAAGCATCCGGTCAAGCACCGGTCTGCACCAAAAGCTTAATAGCAACTGAATAAAACCCAACATGAAGATTGTCGAGGATCATTGCGAAAATAGAAGCACTGTACGTTGCCTACTCATCCCCCATTTTATTTACTTTAGGGATAATTGGTCATAAACGCTGAAATATTTTTTATTTCTTTCAAAAGACATAAAATTAACTTACTTAAGAAATGATTGGTTCTCCATACAAACTTTCACCCCTATTTCACCCCTTTTCGATTTATTTTTGTGAGAAAAAGTAAGCCTATGTCCTTCTCCTTGGTCCCATCTATCTCTATACCAAAATACATCAAACTCACTTTCGTATTTATAATGAGTTTGGATTTATATTAATTTTTATCACTTTATTTCTATATAGTGGAAAATATAAAGACTTCAGACACCAAGAATTTATTTTCGTGGGCTTAACGGCTTATTAACGAATTTTTTATTTTTTATTATAAATTTATTTATTTCCTTAATAATAGTGATTGTGTTGGGAGAAAAATATAATTCAAAAACTAAAATCAAATAGAAATTAGAGGCTGAACATAATATACAATATTAACGAGTCATTAATGAAAAAGTGCAATAATAATAATAATAAATGAACACAATGACATATTGGATTTCCTTGTCACGTTTAAATACAAATTAATACATCAAAGTAACCTTCGTACCTTCGTTTAAATTTGAAACTTCTAGCTTTTCGCTATATTTAGATCTAGTTGTCACATTCCTGGATATTCAGGTTTAAGGGGTTAGAATTAGTGATGAAAGAGACTCAGTCTTTTAAGGCGTTTTATAACGACTAGACTCCATTTTACAGGACTCGACTCTAAAATTAAGGCTGGAGGTTCGAGTTTTTATTAATAAGACTCAATCGTTACACTAAAAGACTCAAAAGACTTAAACAACTTAAGCGACTTGAACGACTTGAAAGACTTAAACGACTCGAGTTATTTGCAAAGAACTTATACCTATTTTATGTCTTATTAAACCCGAAGTTTATAAATAAAAATGACGTAAGTAGTATGTAGTAAGTAATCACGTTCATTTACTTCCAACAAAAATAGTAAAATAAATTCCTTCATGGTAGAAATAAAATCACGCCATACGGCTCATGACTCGCGACTCCCGAGGCTAAGAGGCGCCTGTCATTTTAGCCGTTTTAGTCTTTTTAGTCGTTTTATAAAATATATATATATAAACCTAACATGTCACGCCATTCCGTAATTTAAAAAGGATCATAAAAAATGAAACCGACCTCAAAAGTTCGTGGAATTACATCTATTTGCCAAGTTTTATTGGAATCGGTTAACGGAAAGTGCGCGAAACCGGATTCATCCCCTAGTTTTCCAACCTTAGAGGTGGAATATCTTCTTCAAACTTAATGGGACCAATACTGAGATATCCTCTTTCCAACAAAAAAGGAATCATCAAAATCGGTTCACAAATCGCGTAACTTACACACAAAAAAAAACACAGTTGATGATTCCTTTTTTGTTCCAACAATATATATAGACATTTTCCAGAAATAACGTTTGGTCGAAATTTCATAACCTCGAAAGTAATTTTGAGATGGAAATGATTTTTCTTTTAAACCTAACTTAATCTAACCTAACCGAACCTAATCGTGTCTTTGCGATAAACATTCATCATATCCCGAAAGAACAACTGTTTCGTATTATTCGGTTTTCGGTGTAATGAAAATTCGAAGAAACGTTATTTCGGACAAAAAAAATTCGACTTTCTTATAGGTATAGCATATACATTCAAATTTGCAAAAAATATTCTAAGCGTGGCAAATTAGGCATGAATCCGGTTTATTCAATTTCACCCACTTTCCGTAAACCGATTTCAATAAAACTTGGCAAATAGATGTAATTCCACATACATTTTAAATCGTTTTTTTTTACATAAAAGTTGTAATTATTTAGGTATGTGAGAATAGGAATAAAAAAACGTGAATGAAAAATGTAAATAATATCAATGGATTCAATTAGACAAATTCTTACCTTAGTGTGACTTTTTTAATATCGCGATATTTCGGAACAGTTACACGTGTCCGTGGTGTAGTCCATGATCACGGGTAGATAGAGAGTTGACTGTTATTGTCATCAACCACGAAAGTGATGAAATCAATGGACAAAATGGAAATAATGGACTTACATATCTAAACGAACTTTTTACATCACGACATAGGACATGAAATTATGAATCATTACTTATAAATAACTTTTTTGTAGATGACCGACAATAATATTAATGTAAATCGGGTGTCAATTTTGGAATTTCCGTTATTATAGAGTGTGAACTAGGCTTGCTACGAATATCAGCATCTGCATCTGCGGGTAATCTGCATAAATTAAAATATCCGTATCTGCATCAGCTTCCGCATTCATCCATGCTGATATTCATTGCGGAGCTAAAAGTCACGCTGGAATAATTTTCAAACCTTCCAGAAACAGATTGTAAACCGAAAAAGCAGCTCAGTTGTTGTTTTTTGAAATATACCTTTGATAAATTTCCAGAACCATGAAGCTAGGCAGATAGATATTTTCATTCTGATTGATTCTTTTGTTAATAAATGTCACAAAATAAATGAAATAATATTTTATTACAATACCAAATAGAATGGAATACTTTTTTATGTAGATGGATTCATGAAGTTTTTTTAAATACATAACATCAAAAAATTTGCATCAGCAACAACCCTAATGTGAACACTGACACCATTATGTATGTGTCCCTAGCCTCTATAATAGTACCTTTATTGTCTACGGTCATGTATATTTTATAAACCACTGTCAAAAATTGAATTACTCTATATTACAGCTGTTTACTTTTCTAAACGTTCGTTTTTTTTATAAAAATAATCCAATTCGATGTATGTAGAGGTATTTTATATTTTTCATCACGCTTGCTCTTTCTTATGTAGTAGTATAACAAAACTAGGCGGTAATAGGTTCTTAGTTTTATTTCTACTCTTCCGCCCCGCCTGCCGCTCGGAGCGCGAAAGCCTCAAAGTAAATCACGCGTCAAATTCGCGCCGCGACCCCAAATTGCTGTGAACTTTTGTTTTGATTTTTATAACCTAATATATAAATACAGACGGCTTATTTCATTTGTAATTCTTATAAGATGCTTACTCATACATGACTTTTAAAGATGTTACGTTTTATTTGAACGTAAACCCAATGAAAAAGTTTTTTTTTTATGATAATTTTTATGATATTAAATTTTATGACAAATTGTGAGACGGGCAAGTCGTGCGCCTGGTGGTAAGCGACATGCAGCAGTGCATAGCAGTTGCAGTGTCACTCAGAGCTTAAAGCTCTGAGTGACACTGCAACTGATCGCAAAGATCTAAGGGGAACTGCCACTGCGCCCGTCACCATGACAAAAGTTGTTGTAAGTTTACAAGTCTTATGTGCCTGTAATTTCACCAGTACTCTTAATCCTTAAAAATCGGAACGCAGTAACACTCACATTACTTAGTGGCAGAAAAAGATACAGTAGCAATACTTGCCTGAACGAAATCTTTCACAAGGAGCTCTGCTACTAAATGACTAAATAATAACGTTATTAAGTCTAATTTCCTTCTTTTCAACTTCCTAGCAAGTGTGATGAAAAATATTGTATGACACATTACGGAACAGCAACTACTAACGTTCGCAATTGGTTACTTACCGCTTTAATGACGCCATGCAATATTTTAACACAATTATTTACAATCGTCGATGTAATATATATATGCCTTCTGACTAGAATGCAAATTTAAAATAGTTTAGCCAGCCGTGAGCTCACCAAAGTGCATTAAGTACATATCTTCACAATATGAATCATTTTACAACGCTGTAGAACCCAGAATAAATAGACCTACCACTACCATGATTATACCGTTCTTAGCAGTCTCACGAAGAACTAAAATCTTTATTACGACTATTTTACGTAGTCTGCCAAATGCACCTTTAACAATGTTAACGTTAACGTTAAGTTTAAAATTCAAGGAAAATAAATATTATTTAACCCTAGAAAGATAATATTCATCTTATTTCATCATATTTCATAGTACGTTATATGTTATGTATGATAATGTTATTATGCATAATGTTAATATGTCGATTCGACGTGTGACCGTTTAAATACACATAATTTTGATTATGTGTGTATTTTTTTGTGCCTGTGGTAATGTATGAATAACATTTTGTTACGTGTAAACAAAACATTCAGGATTATATGATATTATATTTTTATTAAAAAAAAAAATATATGTATCAAAAATA